ACGTCACCATACACAATATTTATGTAAGTTTCACTATATTAAGCTGACAATAAACTCACGTCATCATACACAATATTTATGTAAGTTTCACTATATTAAGCTGACAATAAACTCACGTCACCATACACAATAAGCTTCACTATATTAAGCTCACAATAAAAGCAGAATATTTCGGTCATCTCTCGTCCCTTGAAGTTGAAACCGAAATACCGACATTACATTCAAGACTACAGGATGTCCTCAGGATGTCTTATAAGGAGCTACATAATCCTCAAAGGTTAAACAATCCTTATGGAGGACTACAGAACGTTGAATAAGGATCCTGTAAGCCACATGGTCCCTATGTCAGTTCAGTGCCTTCAGGACCCTCCCCCCCTCCCCCCCATCATCCTGTAATGAGCCTAGACCTTCTTTTCCTCCTCCGTCATCCTCCAGCCCTGTCCACACACACACACACACACACACACACACACAGAGGAACTGGGGGTGTGACGTGAAACTCTGTGTACCTGAGTAACTGTATGTGTGACCAGCCTTTGACCTCCATGTAAATGTCGCCTTAACCCAACAGAGACTCCCTGAGTTCACCTCCACCATCCTCACATACAAACACACATCCTCACTCACACACACTCCCACACACATACATACATACACACACTCACTGATACACTCACACACATACATACATACATACACACACACACACACACACTCACACACTCACTGATACACTCACACACATACATACATACACACACACACTCACACACACTCACTGATACACTCACACACATACATACATACACACACACACACACACTCACACACATACATACATACATACCAGCCCCCTTCCACTGACTTAGTAGAGGAATTTGACGTAGCAAAACGCCTGGACAAACTAAAATTAAAACGCTCTACCACCCCATTGACTTACCAATGAAACTATTCAAGGAGTTCTCCCGGAGCTTGCTAAACCCTCTGCTCCATCATCAATGCTTCTCTCAGTCAAGCCAGATGCCCAGCTGACTGGAAGACCTCTTATGTATCACCAGTGCCCAAGTCAACCAGCCCACAATCCTAAATCAGCTACGACCTATTGCAATCACCCCAATACCCAGCCTAATCTGTGAAAGTTTTGTGTTTGACTGGGCTTATGCTGATATTGCAGAGTCGTAGACCCTCAGCAATTTGGCAACATGAAAACTTCCTCCACCACTCACTGTCTTGTCAGCTTTCTCGATTACATATACCGCCATCTCGAGAAACGAAAACGTCTGTAGCTGTCGCCTTCATTGATTTCACTAAAGCGTTCGACCTAGTCGACCACAATATAATCATAAACAAAGCTATTGACAAAAGCACAGACTTCCTCAGTGACCGACGCCAAGCTGTACCTTCCGAGGGCTGTCTCCTTCAGTCACTCACCTGTGGCGTCCCCAAGGCACCAAGATGGGACCACTCTGCTTCCTTATGCTCATCAATGATGCCCTAAGAAGCCCTGCTCGCTGGAAATATGTCGACGACTCCACCATTGGGATCAGCGTCAACAATTCCGCTCCCAACTATACCGCCCTTCAGGATTTATTGAACAGTCTCAAAACTGGGCCACCAACAACCATGTCACCATCAACCATACCAAGACAATGGTTATGCACATCAACCTCTCCTCCGACATTGTCCCACCTCCTTCCATTACCCTAGGTCCGAACACACTCCAGGTTGTAGATTCCCAAGCTCCTCGGCGTCACCATAGACAACAAACTAAATTGGAAACCACACGTCAGTGAAGTTGTCAAATCCTCCAGTTTCCGTCTCCACCTCCTCCGCCGACTCAAGTCCCTCAGGTTCCTGCACCCAGCTCCTCAGTGTTTACACAACATTCATACTTCCCAAGCTCACCTATGCCTCCCCACCTGGTCTTCCTCCTAAATGCCACACAACGTAAACACCTAGAAAAAGTGCAAAAGAGGGCATGCAAGATTATTCTCTCCCTTCCTACTCACATATCAAGAAGCGCTCAACACACTGACCCTTTCGACTCTCACTGACCATCACCACGGCCTCATCTGCAAATTTGGTAGAAGCTTCTACACCATCCGACACCGGCCCCTACTACCTGAGATCCCTGTCCAAGAATTGCTGTTCGACACCACAACCGCATCCAGCCCATACGTGCACGAACTGATCGCTATAAGAACAGCCCAGTCCCAACCATTGTAAAATTATCAATAACATGTAATAAATCAGTGTATTCCTCCCAGTAAACACTGCTCCCTACACTGTCACTATGTTGAAATGAACTGTATTTTGAGCTGATCCCCATCTAAGTTACTATATGTCTTATTTGTGTCACTTATGTCACTTGTATATTATTTGTAATTCGTAACCCATTCCCCAAATATGTAACTGTATATTTTCAGCCTTCTGGCTGCCAAGCTCTTTCAATAAACCGTTAATTATTATTATTATTATTATTTATACTCACACACACACTCACACACACACACCTCCACACCCACACACCACCACTAAGGCCGTACACCTCCCTCGGCTAGCGGTATCTACACTATAGAGACACTAACCCGACAACTTCCTGGACCAACTGACCTGTCTGATCTATTATGACCTCCTCTGACACCACTCCAGTTGACCCCATGACCCCTCACACGTCGAAAGAAATCCTCGACAGGTTAGGTTCTAAATGACATACAGAACCACCAATACCTCTCAGGATCATCAAGTAACAGTAGCTTGAAGGATCTTTATAATAAACAACATCATTAAATCGGTACAGGATGGCTTTAGTGTGTATAGGAGTTTAGGAGAGCGACAACAAACAGCTCTACCATCACGGAGGTTCACGGTGGTAATGAGATCTAAGGTCTCAGTTTCCTTTATATATAGAGTCAAGGAGGTAGTGAAGCCAGCCTAGAGGGAGACATCAAAGAGGCGCCCCGGTAACACAAGCAACAGGCGCGGGGGGTGGGGGCAGGAGTGGGGAGGAGGGAGCGGTGGGGAGGACGGTGGGTAGAGGAGGGAGAGGGTTGTCTACGCTGCCCAGACCAGATCACGAACCTCACCCCACATGACCAGAAATAACCAGATGGTAGAGTATACAGTGATACCTCTATTTAACGGACTATATGAAGAGAGTCCGTTATATCGAGGGTTCATTAGATGTGAAACTTCCATTTAACGGATAAGGAGAGATAAATTCCGTTATGTGGAGGTTTAACTGTAATCCGATGATTCACCGCTAACGACCAACACTCAACTTAAATTCTGAGAGTGAGTGACTACCACACACACACACACACACACACATTACTCAGCCATCATCCGCCACTGTATGAATGAACACGTGGATGAGTCAGCCTCGGGAAGGGCCTAATGGTCAGCCTCAAGACGAGTGGTTAGTCGGTAGGTTAGGTTAGGTTAGATCGGGGGCCTCATTCAGCCTAGCAACACAAGTCGCTCCTCACAACACAACCCTGATAACAACCACCCCCTACAACCAGCGCCCCCTTATACAGAGAGAGAGAGAGAGAGAGAGAGAGAGAGAGAGAGTCTGGTAAAATCATAAGTCACACACAGGGTTCCACTGCCCAGACTACGTTACCATACTTACACAATATTATGTTTTAGTGCCAAACTACAAAACTTTTCCTGTATCGTGTAGTGTGTCCAGTCTCTCCTGTACTACAACTACACTGTACCTTAAGTAGTGTGTTCAGTGTTCCCTGTACCACAACGACACTGTACCTGTGTAGTGTGCCCAGCCATCACTGTACCTGTGTAGTGTGTCCAGCCATCACTGTACCTCAACCACACTGTACCTCGTGTAGTGTGTCCAGCCATCACTGCCTCAACCACACTGTACTCGTGTAGTGTGTCCAGCCATCACTGTACCTCAACCACACTGTACCTCTGTAGTGTGTCCAGCCATCACTGTACCTCAACCACACTGTACCTCGTGTAGTGTGTCCAGCCATCACTGCCTCAACCACACTGTACCTCGTGTAGTGTCCAGCCATCACTGTACCACAACCACACTGTACCTCGTGTAGTGTGTCCAGCCATCACTGTACCACAACCACACTGTACCTCGTGTAGTGTGTCCAGCCATCACTGTACCTCAACCACACTGTACCTCGTGTAGTGTGTCCAGCCATCACTGTACCTCAACCACACTGTACCTCGTGTAGTGTGTCCAGCCATCACTGTACCTCAACCACACTGTACCTCGTGTAGTGTGTCCAGCCATCACTGTACCACACCCCCACTGTACCTCGTGTAGTGTGTCCAGCCATCACTGTACCTCGGGTCTAACACAAGCAGAGTTCTGTTGTGGTTGATGATGTTCGTCAGGAGGTCGACAGCCTGAGGTCCCCGACGCCAGTACTCGTCTACAGGCGAGAGGGAAGAAGGACCTTTGTTCCTGAGTCTCTCCCTGCCTCAGTCTCCCTCACAGATAACACCCTCAAGGACTCACCCACGCCCAGGACTTGTCGCAATACACCGCGGAGCCCAACAACACAACACCAATAACTACAACACTTGTTACTCACTGGCCACCTAGTGTGTTACAGGCACCTAGTGTGTTACAGTCCCTCACACATAAAAGAGATAGCATCAACGAGTCATTCAAACACGACACCCTATCAACAACACCTCTTTACACAGGTGGTCAGGCTGTCACTATCGCAGTACACACACACAACAGACCGCGGCACTATATCACTATCAGTCACGGTGGTTCCAAGTTCACCAGTCAATAATAATCCGTTGTGTTACGATGCCGTTACAAATCTGTTCTTGTTACCACCAGGAGGGCGTCACTAACACAGGAGACGCCTCACACTGGCTCACTACACCAGAGAGACTCACCGTCACCAAGATAGTATCACCAACAGTCTCTCATAATGTCACTGGAACTGTGGTGTCGTGGTGCACTATACACACACACACATTCACCAGCACTACACCATCCTCACCTACACACACGTGGTCACTGCAGAACACGAGGTACAACACGGTGCACCAGGAGTAAAACACAAGTACAGGAGGACACTACAGAGAGCACGAGACGCTCTACCACACACAGCCACGATTCAATGTGTGTGTGAGGGAGGGAGGGAGGGTCTTCTGTCTGAGGGTCCATGTGTGAGTACGCCGCCCCCACCACCACCACCACCACCCCTCACTCTCCTTCCCTCCCCGTTTCTCTCCCTCTTCCCTCTACCCTCCTTTCTCTTCTACCTCCCTCTTTCCATTCCTTCCCTGTCTCTCTCCCTCCCCCCCTCTCGATCACCTAACCTAACCCAACCTAACCTAAGCTATCCTAACATAACCCACCCAAACCAACCCAACCCTAACCTAACCTCACCTAAGCTACCCAAACCTCACCTAACCTAACCTAAGCTACCCAAACCGAACCTAACCGAACCTAAGCTACCCAAACCTCACCTAACCTAATCCACTATCATGTTGAATGAGCCTTCTACCCCCTGGTGTGATATACAGCCCAGACATGATAGTCGTATTTACCTAAAGTCTTCTCCTGTCAGTTCAAGAGTGTGCCTAATCCTCTTTCATACTACGACCCCGTCACACCACTCTTCTTCCCTCCTCTCTCTCCTCCTCCCTCTCTTCCTCTTACTCTTACTCCTCCTCCTCCACTTCATCTAATATCCTCTTCCATTATCTCCCCTTTCTTCCGTTCTTTCTCTCGTTCTCTTGTGTTTCTCCTCCTTTCCAATCAAAATATTATCTTCATATCTCTCACTTTCTCATCACCACCATCACTACCATCCCCACTACCACCACCACCCACCACCACCATCACTACCATCCCCACTACAACTACCACCACCACCATCACTACCATCCCCACTACCACCACCACCACCACCATCACTACCATCCCCACTACAACTACCACCACCACCACCACCATCTGACAAGTAGCTGGCCACACAGTCAACAGAGCTTCACCAAAGACTTACTTAAGAAATAAAATGATCTAGAATATCACGAATCACGACAGACTCACCAAGCAATCACCACTGTCCTCTCACCATCATCCTCTCTACAGTATTTTGATCACCATGTGGTATTGGTGACTTGATGTTGTTCTATAAATGACTAGGCCTATCGCAAAAGTAAGTAGGCCTATCATAACAGAGACTTAAATTGGTTGGTATTAGTTTTAGCAGTGGGTGGGAGAGTGGCTAAGTGGGGAGGGAAGGAGGGAGAGTGGGTGAAGGGGAGGGGGATGAGGGAAGGAGGGAGGGAGGGAGAGGAAGGAAGGAAGGGAGAGTGGGTGAAGGGGAGGGATGAGGGAAGGAGGAGGAGGAGAGGAAGGAAGGAAGGAGAGTGGGTGAAGGGGAGGGATGAGGGAAGGAGGGAGGGAGAGGAAGGAAGGAAGGAGAGTGGGTGAAGGGGGAGGGATGAGGAAGGGGAGGAGAGGATGAAACAGGGAGAGTGAAGTTGAGGGGAGTGACATAGGGTGATCCAGGGTGATAAAAGTTCCTTATTAAACCATTAAACCTCCCAACACCCTACACCCCTTCCCAGCTCCCCACCTCCACTTCTCCCCACCCCCACTTCTCCCCACCCCTTCCCCCAACACTCGACCCTGGAAAAGTGGCATAACTGCTTGACAATCTGTGAGGTCAAGAGAGAAGTACTGGTCCCACAAGACGCCGCCCACTCTGGCTAGCGTGGGCGGGGTTGTAAACGAGGTTGTGGGCGGTTTTAGGTGGGTGGGTGTGGCAGTAACGTAAGCACTACCCAGCAGATTGTTTCCCCATATGTCCACCACCCAGCCACCCACTCACCCACCCAACACCCTGCCACCCAACCAAGCCTTTCCTCCCCATCACCACCCTCCACCCCTCCCCTCTCTACCCTCCACCCCACTCCCCATCACCATCCTCCACCCCTCCCCCTCTCTACCCTCCACCCCTCCCCATCACCACCCTCCACCCCACTCCCCCTCTCTACCCTCCACCCCTCCCCATCACCACCCTCCACCCCTACCCTCCACCCCCTCCCCATCACCACCCTCCACCCCCACTCCCCCCCTCTCTCATTCTCTCTTCCATCATAAATCAAGTTCTACCCTCCTTCCCTCCCCCCAATCCTCAATCCCTTTCATATCACCTTCTCTCCCCTCCTTTCCTTCCAACCACTCTCCCCTCCCTACACTTCCCTTTCCAACACAAATCAAACTTCCCCCTCTCCTTCCCCTCTCCTATCACCCTCCCAGCGCATCCCCACACAACATCCGGCGTTACCTCCCCTTCACACACACACACACACACACCCCTCTCTCTCTCTCTCTCTCTCTCTCTCTCTCTCTCTCTCTCTCTCTCTCTTATCTCTCGCTTTCTCTTTCAAATAAACAATTATTATTTTTATTATTATTATTATTATTATTATTATTATTATTATTATTATTATTATTATTATTATTATTAACTGCTCTGCCTTCACTAACAATACACCAATTACTATCCAACTCTTGTATATTTATATCATCTCCTTTATAATACAATCACCACATAGGAACAAGTCTACCTGTAATTAACACCTGTAATTTATAACCCATACCTGTACAGATATACCCCAATAAGGCTTCAGTACCTACACATGACTACCTACACACCTGGTCTCTCTCTCTATCACCTGTATATTATACCTTAACCTTGTATTAATTCTCTACCTATATATGGACACCTATACACACCTGGTCTCCCTCCTACACCTTCTCACTAACAAGATATTCTCACCTGTCCTAATTAATCTTCTCGAGGCATCATTTTGTACCTGAGTTCTAGAGGCTGGCTGTCACCTCCACACATTGGCTAGGTTCTGCCTCAATTTGTTATGATCATTCTCAGTAGATTTCACTCACTTGTCATTGAGTTTATGGAGTTACTGTGAGTATTATATTATGACACGATACGAAGCCTTCAGGTGTGTTAGATTTAAGATGAATTTGTGTTGAGATTAATATATTACCTGAGTTTACCCAATTAACCCTATATCCATGGTTCTTTAAATATAATAATCCCTAAAATATAATCCCTTATGACTTAAAATAAACCCTTGAAATATATTAATAAACCAACAGCTTAAAATTAAACCCTTATTATACATTTTTAGGTCAACACAATATGACTTTTTTTTTACTCAGACTCAACATAGAATTTTTCTTCGGTATTCCCACAAGTGGTGATCAAAACAAAGGCTTCAGCACTACAGGAGCGGATGTTAAGGCTTACTGTTGGAGATTGTTATTTAAGGGTGAAAAAAACCTTAACCGGATGATGATGGTGATGATGGTGATGGTGGTGGTGATGATGGTGATGATGGTGATGGTGGTGATGATGGTGATGATGGTGGTGGTGGTGGTGGTGGTGATGTGGTGATGATGGTGGTGATGGTGGTGATGATGGTGGTGATGATGGTGATGATGGTGGTGATGATGGTGATGATATCGAGGAGGTATTAAGTGTGTTAGAAGTATATGGGTGTGTGTGTGTGTGTGTGTGTGTGTGTGTGTGTGTGTGTGTGGTGGGCGTCATGACAGGGGGGTGGGAGTGTGGTAGAGGGCGAGGCCAGAAAGGGAGGCTGGCAGGATGTTATGACACCCGTGACAGAGTACCCGAGCCACATAACTTGACACATGTTAATGACAGGGGCAGGAAAATGGAGGGGTGGAGGGAAGTGAGGAGGGTGACACTGAAGAGGAGAGAGAAGGAGGGAGGGAGGGACTGAGGGGAGAGGACGGGTGACATTTTAGGCCGGAGAGGTGGATGTTGTCAGGAGGGTGAGCTATAATGGATGACGGTGTGTGTGTATGATTACAGAGGGGTAGCGAGGTGATGATTTAATATACTGGACAATTACTAATAGGTGGAGTCACTCAGGTAAATGACCACAGCTCTGAGTCCCTCCCTTACCTGTCGAGTCTTTCCTCTTGCTCTCACTTCCGCCACTGCCAACACCACCACCCTTACCACCACTAACCACCACTACCACCACTCTTTGCATAACCTTCCTGGAACACGGGACAACACAACAGTCTTCCTACAGTCGGTGTGTGTGTGTGTGTGTGTGTGTTACTGAGACGCTAGTGAAGGTTGGTTATACACCCGTCAGCGTATATAGAGTTGAGAAATAGATACCTCGTGTAAAGATATATTGTCAGGAAGTCAGGAAGGAAGGGGTGACAATGGGCTGATAAGCTGACTGGTAGATATTGATAGTTAATATATACTTATGGATGAACGAAAGAGGATGACAGCCACACACCACCAACACCCAGCTACATCACCCACCACCACCACTAATCAAGGTTGCCACAGAGAGCCACCTTAGAGTCACAGAATACCTGCCAGGAGGGTGCCAGACTGCTTACACACACACAACACGTGGAGACCAGATATATTATACCTGCACGTGCCCTTTGCCAGACGAGGCCAACACGCCCTCCTGTCTCTCACTCATAATATTCTTTTACGACCATATGTGTTAAATCCCCACACACACACACACACACACACACACACGTACATAACAGTGTGGCCCAGGGTAAAAGAGAGTAGGACCCGCTAGTGATGCTTCCCCAACCTTTTTTAATACGACTCAAGAGTGATGATGACGTTGATGTAGACACCCGACACTACTAGGGGCATGGTGTGTGCCTCTGCCCACACACACACACACACACACACACACACACACACACACACACGTACATAACAGTGTGGCCCAGGGTAAAAGAGTAGGACCCGCTAGTGATGCTTCCCCAACCTTTTAATACGACTCAAGAGTGATGATGACGTTGATGTAGACACCCGACACTACTAGGGGCATGGTGTGTGCTCTCTGCCCTAACACACACACACACACACACACACACACACACGGGCCACCCTCCCTCCCTCCCTCCTCCACCTACCTTATAGCACGGGGTTGAGATGAACGCAATGTTGCCAAGTACTACAAGTGGGAGACGTAGTGGCACCATCTGGGAAACGAGTGCCAACAACTGGGAGACGAGTGCCACCACTTGGGAAATGAGGCCACCACCTAGGAGACGAGGCCACC